TCCTAGGGGAACCAGAGGGGTGTGTTTGTTATAACCGGCTAGCCCCAAAGGGCAACAGAACCACCTTCTCGTGCATAGGTCAGGAATACGGAAATGAACGTGCAGATGGAGCGAGACTGGTTTTTCCACAAGGGGCTGAGGAGGACCAGGTGGGACAGAACTTATCAGCAACCTGCAGTTTACAGCTGTAAAACAGCTCAAACACAGCGAAAGGCTCGAGTCTGACGACCAGAAGGTGGGCTGCAGACAGTATGTAGTTTTCCACTGACGTGCACATTTTTTCTGCAGGAGGAAGTTCGTGAAGAGGGTGCACTCCAGTCTCCAACTCGATGACCGCACAGGGGATGAGTCTGACTCACACACTCAATGCAGAGTGCCTTCCGAAGGAACTGGGGAGCGAGAGGCCTACGCCTAAGAGCAGCAGCTGTTAAGATAAAGGGCACAAGACATTTGGAACATATTTTTTCAGCGAGATGGTGGCATCTGGGACATTCTAGAATGTGTGTGTTTGTGCCCTGGGACAGTAGCAGAGGCCTGCGGTTTTCACTGTACCTGGTTGAGCCTGACTGCCGGGCAGCCTGGGTAGTTACGCCCTCTCTCTGACACGCAGTGTCCTTGTCTCTGAATTGGGATGGCAATAGTACCTACATCATTAAATGATTTTTAAAAACTTATTTTCTTTAATGATTTTTAGAGGGAGAGGGAGAGATAGAAACATCGATGAGAGAGAACATCAATTGCCCGCCTCCTGCATGCCCCCCACTGGGGATCGGGCCCACAACCTGGGCATGTGCCCTGACTGGAAATCGAACCGGTGACCTCCTGGTGCCTGGGTCGACGTTCAACCACTGAGCCACACTGGCCGGGTGAGAAGTGTATTTTAAATTGATAAAACCATTTCTTTGACAATGTCCTGTGGTCACTGGGATATTTTCACATCAACCCAGCCTTCTCGTCTCTCCCGCATCCTGATCCCTGTCTGCTCTCCATTAAGCCCTCATTTCCACCATTTGTGTTCCTAGCAGTGTAGGAAGCAGCATTCAATTGCCCTGGAGGACCTGGTGCATGCTGGGTGGAGTTCACACCTTTGAACACCTAGGTATAGCCTCAGGTAAGGGGGCCCTGGGAAGGGGTGACAGAAAAGCCCTGGGCACCCCAGCAACCCCACAGTCTTGTCACTGAGCCCAGGTGCCCAGGTGCCCAGGTACCGACTTGCAGCTGTCAGCATGGGAGCTCCCAGGTGGGACCCTCCCCGCAGACAGGAGTTCGGGCAGATGAGGAATTGTCTCCAGACATGGGTCTTCCTCCAAGAGGGTGTGGACTAGCTGCAGCAATGCCAGTTTTCCAGTTGGCTTTCTCCTGTCATCCTCCCTGCAACCACGCACAGACGGGCATCTGGAGAAGCTGAGGACCCCCATGAAAGGCATGACGCTGATGGCCAGTTCGCAAGCCCATGCTGCCCTCTAGTGGCTGTGCACAGTTCCTGCCTTCAGGAAGCCCAGGTCAGCAGGCAGCACCCCACTGGGTTTGAAGGGTGGATTGGCCAGCCTTCCTAGGACCCCAATCAGAGGTACCCGCCCCACCTCAGGACTCCCACATCACTTTGTCAGTCCCCTCTTTCTCGGAGCATTAAATATACATGTATATATTTAATTGTGGTAAAATATACAAAACAAAATGTACCATCTTAACCATTTTTAAGTGGCGTTAAGTAGATTCACATTATTGTGAAACCATTTCCCCATTCACCTTCAAACTTTTCTTTTTTTATGCCCGGCTGGTGTGGCTCAGTGGTTGAGCATTGACCCCTGCACTAAGAGGTTGCTGATTCGATTCCAGTCAGGGCACATGCCCAGGTTGTGGGCCAAATCCCCAGTGGGGGGTCATGCAGGAGGTGGCCAATCGATGTTCTTGCTCATTGATGTTTCTATCTCTCTTCCTCTCTCTCTAAAATCAATAAATACAAATTTTAAAAAAACCAACTTTTCTTTTTTAAATCCTCACCCGAGGATATTAATCTATTTATCTTCAGATAGAGTGGGAGGGAGAGAGAGGGAAAGAGAAACATCGACATGAGAGACATATTGATGGGTTGCCTCCCGCACGACCTGACCGGGGCCGAGGACGAACCGCAACCGAGGTACGTGTCCTTGGCCAGAATCGAGCCTGACTCATTGGTCTGCAGGCCGACGCTCTACCACTGCGCCAAACCGGCCAGATAAAACTTTTTTTCTTGCAAACTGAAACTCTGTACTCATTAAACTCCCCATGCCACCGCCCCCGCCCTCCTTTCTGGAGTTCTCTCCAAACAGTACCTTCCACTTTCTGTCTCTATGAGTGTGACTACCCTAAGTACCATATCCAAATGGAATCATCCAGTATTTGTCTTCTTGTGACTGGCTTATTTCACATTGCAGAAATCTCCCTAGCACGTGTTCCCTTATGAAGTGATTTATAAATGTGCAGCCTGGAAGACAAAGACATGCCCCAGAGTCTCGTCCACATAACACCCCTCCAAACACAACCCACCAGACACAACCTGGGACGTCATGAATCGCAGCACAGGGTTGCAGTTCAGTGATCGGAAAGACCAAACCAGTGGCCCCTGACCACAGGAGCTGGCCTGGCCCTCAGAGGTGGGCCTGGGCATACTCCAGCCTCACAGCTCACGGTAGCCATGCCTGAGCACAGCACCCCTGGGCCAACTGCAGAAATGACCGGCACCCCATCGCGCGAGACTGTTGCTTCCCTACCAAGCAACGCTGTGGAACCACACCCTAGATATAAAAAAATCTTCTCAGTCACAGAATTATCCCTGCTTCCTGACAGCACACACTCAGAGCAAACCTCCACTTCCTTAAATCCTCCCCAAGTTCCTCAGCACCTGCCCAAGTTCTGAGTCCCTCCAAACCCGGCCGTGGGCAGCAGCGAGCACAGCAAACACCACGTTGTTGCCTGGGGCACGGCCCTGGTGCTCTCTGCCAGATGGGCTGCAACAGGACCACTGAGGAATGAAAGGAGGAAGGGCTAAGAATTGCTAGCCAGCTCCAGATGGAGCAGGTGACTCGTTAACTAGTCAGCAACCCACCAGCCCAAAATCTGTCCATCCCAGCAACCTATATATAGATGAAGTTGTTTCCATCTTACAGATGAGAAGATCAAGGCTCCGAGGGTTAATAAGTAGGCCACATTACTGAGTGACAGCACCAAGTCTGAGACCTGAGTTGCCTGCCCCCCCAAGCCCAGAGCTCTTTCCTGCCACACGCCCTCCTCTCTAGAGCTGCACCCACCAAGCAAGCCCCGGTGGTCCGGTTCGTGTGCAGTGAGCACATCCTGAGGGTGGGTACTGACTCCGCTAAAAGATTTGGATGGTTTCCCACGGCAAAGGTTCCACCTTGGACAGCTTGCAGCCGGCCAACCCCTATGGGGCAGCCCGTGGCCAGGAGCGGCATGCCGAGTGGGCGGGTGCAAGTCTTCATTGCTGGGTGTGAGTTCTCCGAACCGCTGAGCCGAGCCCCACTTTGCAGGAAAGGAGGTGCCCTTTCTGGATACGCGTGCCACAGTGAGCAGATGCCCAGCGGACATTTTCCCAGGGCTGGCACCAAAGGTTCGTGTCCAGCTAGGCGAGGTCTTAGAACACAGGTGGATTTCTAATAGTTATACATTTATTCTCATGTGTAGTAGGAAAAAATATAATTAGCATATCAGCAATGTGACTGCATGGATATAGTTTAGCACAAGACTGAAGTTGGAAGTGAGTGAAAATCAGGATGTTGATTTAAAGAAAATACCAAGGAAATGCGAGACTATGAGGTCCTTGATTATGCCGGTCGTGGAGGTGGCACGTGGATGCCTGGAGTTCGGGGCTGTCACTCCCAGCTTCAGGCAAGAAGCTTGCTCCTCTCTGAAGCCCAAGGGGCTCTGCAGACAGGCTCTCGGAACTGGAGCCCGAGGCATCCTCAGAGGAGTCTGGGGAGCCTCAAGGCAGCCCCAGGGAGGAAAGTACATCTTGTTTGTTCACACCCTACAAAATGCCTGAGAGGTTACAAAGCAACAAAAGTGATTTCTTAAAAGGGAAGAAGGATCTTCTAGGTGTGGCCTGAAGAGGCAGTGGTCCCAGGGCAGCCTTGGGGGGAGAGTCCAAGTGAGACACCAAGGGGTGAAAGGACACCCCCTGGCGCTGTCCTGAAGGAGTGGGGTGGGGGGGTGCACGGCCCCAGTCAAGGCTGCAGAGGAACACCCACAGCACCCGCACCCAGTTCTCTGTCAAACAGGCACCCAATCAGTGCCAGCCGCCTCGCACACAGGAGTGCCAGGAGGCAGGGGGGAGGGTGCTCTGGTCCTTGGGCATCAGCATACCTCACCCTTTCCTCCTGCCCCTGGGCCGGTGCACAGCCGGGCCTGGGCCCCAGGCTCCCCAGGCCGTTCCCCACGGCCATGCCACCACCGGCTCACATTCTTGTGCATCTCCTACTGAGATACAACCCCTCCAAAAAACCCAAGGAATGTTTCCCATCATTCAAATGTTAAAAAATTTTTTAAAAGCGCTTTTTAAGGGACCTTGGAGTTTTACTCAAACAGCTCTGTCCTGAAAGCCAGAGCTGACCTCAACACCCCTTATGGGACAGCTAAAGTGTCATTGCTAGGGATACAGGGTGCCACCAGACCTGCCCCGACTCACCCCTGGAAATGGGGGGGGGGGTCAAGGCCAGCGTGCAAGAGGGGCCAGAGCCTGGGGCATGAGCACCCCGGGGTGACGCTCAGGTATGGAGGCAGCGCCCGGCGGGTCGAAGAGGTGAAGGCACTGCCGCCGGCCACCCGCCACTCAGCTGGGAGGAGGCTGGGGTTGGAGCGGCTCAGCCCTGCGTCCCAGACGGATGGGCGGGTCCCGGCTGTGGCTCGGAAATAAAGTGTGCAAGAGCAGGTCAGGAAGGGAAACCAAGTCAGAGACGGGACCCCGACGGGGCCGGTGGCGGCTCAGGGCCCCAGACGGCGGGCGCTCAGCAGCACCCCGCGGCACTCCGCTTCACGTGGCACGGCTTACAGAAGAGACGGTCGTTCAGCGGGTAGCAGCCCTGGTCCGTGGGCTCCACAGACAGGAGGATCCTGCAGTCCTGCGGGGACAAGGGACACGCAGGTGGACCCCAGGCCTGAGCGCAGCACGGAGACTGCCCAGGGTGGGGGCTCGCCCAGGGTCTGCTGATGAAATGAACTGAAGAACACACTCCCGAAGGGGGAGGAATGTTCCTGTCCTCCCGGACAGCTGGGCCAGGTCCCCCTCAGGGAAGACAGGGCACACGGGCTTTCACCCCCAGGGGGTTGTGATCGTGAGAGCAGCGTCAGCCGAGGGGCGAACTGAGGACACTGGGAGGTGTCCCCTGAGGGATCACGGAAAGAGCTAGAAGAGGCTTAACAAATGCCCAGCAGCCCTATAGGACGTAACCTCTGCGAGGTGGTCACCCTGTTTCCTGCTAGATCCCGCCCAGGCTAGTGCACATCAGGCAAATAATACATTTCTGCATAACCGAATCCAGCCCAGATGGGGAGGGTTGTGGCTGCCCACAGGTCTCCAGACTCAGGGTCCAGAGGTCTGTTCACTGCTCCATTTCCCACACAGCTTCAACACTGGCACCAACTTTAAAATTCAGATTTTTCAGCCCAGACGGTGTGGCTCAGTGGGTGAGCGTCAACCCTGCACCAAGAGGTCACCCGTTCAATTCCCGGTCAGGGCACATGCCCAGGTTGTGGGCCCAATCCCCAGTGGGGGGCATGCAGGAGGTGGCCAATCGATGTTCTCTCTTATCGATGTTTCTATCTCTCTACCTCTCCCTTCCTCTCTCTCTAAAATCAATAAAGAAAAAAAAATTAAAAATAAATAAAATTCCAGTGTTTCAAATCACCAAAGGACTTCAGAACGTGGAAGATGGGATTTGGAGCCTAACCTGCTAAGTTCACCAGTCTTTTTTTTTTTATCCTCACCCAAGGACATTTTTGCATTTATCTTCAGATAGAGCAGGAGGGAGAGAGGGAAGAAGAGAGAGAAACATTGATGTGAGAGAGACACATCTGACCGGTTGCCACCCGCAGGACCCTAACCAGGGCGGGGACAAACCGCAACCAAGGTACGTGCCCTCGGCGGGAACCGAACCTGGGACTCTCTGGTCCGCAGGCCGATGCTCGAACCGCTGAGCCATACTGGCCAGGGCTCAGCTCACCATTCTGCCGCCAACCTGCACACCTCAGTGGAGCTTCACCAGGGCACATGCCGGGGAGTAATAATGGGGACAATTAACTAACCCAGAAACCCGGTTCAAGGCATGGCTGGCAAGCTCTGGAAGTTGCATTAATCAGTTCAGAGGTGCTGGTCCCCATGGAAACAACTTCGGGCACACCGGTGCCATTCTAACCCAGCAAGGCCAGCAGAGGGCGCCCTCGTGTGTCTCTTTTCTGCAACTGCACCTCGCGTCCCTCAAGGACTATTCAATGCCAGGGTCTGTTTTTCCCATCTGCCACTTGTTTGGCATTCTGAGAGCACCAAGCGCCAAATGTAAAGTCCCAAAGGGGCACATGTGACCTCTTCTAAATTAGAATCAAGTGAAGAAACACCTCAACTATGACCGAGTCACACCATCCGGGAAGGAGCTGTAGGGTGGCCGAAGGCTGGCTAGACCGGGCCCAGAGAAACAAGGTTGGAACCACTTTGCCCAGCCTCAGTTACATGGAGACAACAACTCTCATCTTGCAAGATCATCATAGGATTAAATAAGGCGATGTACATGAAAGCATTTTGTAAATTAAAAAACACGACCCAGCACAGCCAGTGTGGCTCAGTGGTTGAGCATCGACCCATGCTCCAAGAGGTCGCCAATTCTTTTTTTTTTTTAAGAAGTTTTTTTTTTTTTTTTCCTTTATTGATTTTAGAGAGACAGGAAGTAAGAGGAAGAGAGAGATAGAAACATCAATGAGAGAGAACAACTATTGACCGCCTCCTGCATGCTCCCCACTGGAGATCAGGCCCACAACCCAGGCATGTGTCCTGACCGGAAATTGAACCAGCGACTTCTTGGTGCATGGGTCCAATGCTCAACCACTGAGCCACACCGGCCAGACAAGAGGTCACCAATTCAATTCCCGGTCAGGGCACATGCCCAGGTTGTGGGCCAAATCCCCAGTAGGGGGCATGCAGGAGGCACCCAATTGATGTTCTCTCTCATGGATGTTTCTATCTCGTTCTCCCTCTCCCTTCCCCTCTCTTTAAAAATCAATAAAGAGCCCTGGCTGGTTTGGCTCAGCGGTTAGGGCGTTGGCCTGCGGTCCAGAGAGACCTGGGTTCGGTTCCCGCTAAGGGCGCGTACCTCGGTTGCAGTTTGTCCCCGGCCCTGGTTGGGTCGTGTGGGTGGCAGCCACTTGTATCCCTTTCACGTCGATGTTTCTCTCTCTCTTTCTCTCTCTCTCCCCCCCCCTCCCTCCCACTGTATCTGAACAAAAAGTGGAAGGATGTCCTTGGGTGAGGATAAAATAATAATAATAATAAAAATAAATAAATAAAAATAAAAATCAATAAAGAAAAACATTTAAAAATTTTAATGAAATAAAAAACACAACCCAGGTATAAGTATTGTTACCCTTCCAGCAGGGGGAATAAATAACCCAGACCACAATGAACAGGAATGACGAGAGGATGCTGGATGGCACCTAGAAACCCTTCCTAGAGAAATAGCACCCCAAGTCTGTTACAGGCCACTGTGGTCTGAGCCTTCCCATCCGAAATGTCACTGCTAGAGTCCACACTCTGACCCCCTGCAGCAGCCCGGGGACCGCTCTCGGCAGCCTCGGCCAAGCGGACCAAGGACAAGCAGGGAGGGGTTATTGCTCACTAACCAGGCTCAGGGAAATGCTAATCACCACTGGACCTCATGGAGGCTATGGTGGCTATGGTGGCGATAACAGCACTTGCTTTTTGTCATTGTTCTTTCAAGATGCGTTATCAGTCGAACTTTGGACTAACCAACAAAGACAACCTAATTATGAAGCAATCTGTCAACTTCTCGAGCAAGCTCCCTTGTCACACGCAGTGAAACAGCCTCTTGGCTCCATGTATCTGTATGAATAAATGTTTAGAGTTACTCCCTGGCCGATTAGGAGGTTTGCTCTAGGAGTCCCCACTTAGGTGACACCCATAAAAATTGCCACCTTTGTTGCCATCACCAGAGAAAACAGACACATCAGTGACATGGAAGTGACAGTGGAAGAGGTAGGTGACTCTTTAGAGCCTCCCCAACAGGACTGACTATATAATTTGCAGGATCTCAGGAAAAATGAAAATTTAGATCCCTTGTTCAAAAATGAAGAATTTCACCCTGGCCGGTTTGGCTCAGCGGTTAGAGCGTCAGCCTGCGGACCAGAGTCCCAGGTTCGGTTTCTGCTAGGGGCATGTACCAAAAAAAAAAAGAATTTCAAGACGGTAACAGCAGAGCTTCAGGGTTTCCGAGTGTGGAGACCTATGCAACTCCTGGGCACTTCTTGCTGGGAGTACTGTACCAGCTTCTAACCAGCCTTCCCATCTCAGCCTCACCCCTGCCTGCAGCAGGAGGACCAGACTCCTCCGCCTGGAACACGGGGTCCTTTCCTGCTCTCCGACCGCACCCTCCACACTCAGCACTTCAGATGCATGTCGGAACTTCCACTTCCTCTGGTTCTTCAGGTGTGCTCAGGACAGAGTGGGTTTTTACAGGCCCTTGCCTCTTTCTGCACTTCCTTTCCCCTCTGAATATCTGACAAACTCCTACTCATCCTGCAGGACCTAGGGTAAGCATCACTTCCTCTCCAAGGGTGCCTTTGACTCCACCATCTTCGTTAGCCTCCGCCACTGCCTTTTTAGTCCCAAAGCTGATCGATACAAGCTCTTTCCCTGCACCCGGACAGGACATCTGTGGTGTGAGTCTGTCCAGCATCCCCTTCTTCCTTCCGATAGTTGTATCAACTCGTTTCTTTACTTATTTTTTTTTAAACTTAGCACTTTATTTTTCCCCCATTTACCTTCGGATAGAGTGGGAGGGAGAGAGAGAGGAAGAGAGAGAGAGAAACATAAATGTGAGAAAGACACATCGATTGGTTGCCTCCCCCATGACCCCAACCAGGGCCGGGGACAAATCGCAACCGAGGTAGGTGCAGTGGCAGGATCCAACCGGGACTCTTTCATCCAGGGGAGCCAAACAGGCCAGGGCTCAACTCCTGGTTCATAGGTTTCCTTCCCTGGGCCCAGAGAGAGTTAATAATAGCCCCTGGCCAGTGATTGGTCCAGAGTGAGCATGTGACCCAAACTGGGCTAGTCAGAGGCCTTCTTGGGATTGAATGGGATCCCTGGATGCGGTTTATAAATGAAAAGGATGCAAACCTGGCCCAAACGTGGCCATGTACTGTATCCCCCTCCTCACAGAGGATGTTAGCTCACGGGAAGAGAAATGAAGCAAACACATAAAAAACCAGAACCGAGAAATGGAGAGAGAGCTCCCTACCTATATCATTTAACATCACCAATGATATCACCATGATCCTTCCTGTGGTTCCCTTCCTTGCGGAAAGTAGGTTTAGTTTCTATCATTAATCCAAAGAGTTCTGATTAATAGACTCTTTGTAATTATGTCCATTCTTATTTGTTTCTGCTACCGGACATTGAGCAATCTGCCAGCCGAGCCCCTGCCCAGACTGTCCCAGCCCAGGGCCTGGCACCCGCAAGCTTTCAACCAGGGTTCGCGGCGACTGAACGCGACCTGCAGCCTGGCATTAACTCTCTGCTCCACTCACCTCGCACCTGTAGCAATTCTCATGGAAGTTTCTTCCCATGCACTCGATTTTGAAGGCATCCTTCCCGTCCCGGGGGATGATGGGATTCTCACAGATGCTGCACACTGGGGCGAACTTCCTAGAGGGAAAGGAACGCACGCTCGGGAGGCGCTCACGCCGACAACCACAGAAATTAGCCGTCAGAACGGGGCTGGCTCTAGTTCAGCTTCCAGCGCTATTTCAGCCCTGTTGCTATGTGACCGCACCTGGAGCTGCAGCCGCCGATGCCTGTTTCTTCCAGGCCCGAGCGGATGGAGAGCCGCGTGTAATTAGACCCCGCTTCCCAGGGTATAATTAGCTCCCGGCAAGGAAGTGACGGGGTGTGTGTGTGTGTGTGTGTGTGTGTGTGTGTGTGTGTATTTGAGAAAGCAGACATCTCCTGTGAGCTCAGTGGGGCCGGGGCCCCTTTCATTTGTCTTGTATTACAGGTCACTGCTTTTTCTTCTTCTCTTTCTTTTTAAAAACTATTTTAGAGAGAGATAAAAATGTTGATGTGAGGGAGGTACATCCATCGGCTGCCTCCTGCACGCCCCCTACTGGGGATCGAGCCTGCAATGGGGCCTGTGCCCTGACCGGGAATTCATCTGGGACTTCTCAGTCCATGGGACCATGCGCAACCCACTGAGCCACACCGGATGGGCTTCTCTCCTTTCTTTTTAACAGGCACATCTGTCTCTCCCTTTGGGCAGCGAGCAGCTCAGGGTCAGGGAAGGAGCCTCTCGGAGAGTCCCGAGAGCGGGGGGCTTCTTATGGCCCCTCCTCAGAGAGGAGGCACTGTGGTCTGGGGGTGGAGTGTAAGACCCCAGACTCAGGTTGACGGGAGTTTGAGTCGCAGCTTCTACACTTACCAGCGCCGCCGAGACTTTGGGGGACTTCCCTGCTGCATGCCTCAGTTTCCACATTTGGTCAAATGAAACCCTTAACAGTTCCTGCCTGATAGAAGGTGATGTGTGTGTGCTTCACCGCCTGACTCAGCAACGCTCTCTGTATTGAATTGACCACTAAATTCGTTTTCAGGATGAAATGGCCTAACCCGTCCTGGCCAGTTTGGCTCAGCAGTTAGAGCGTCGCCGGCAGACCGATGTGTTGAGGGTTCGGTTCCGGTCAAGGGCAGGTACCTCGGTTGCAATTTGTCTCCCGCCCTGGTTGGGGTCTTGTGGGAGGCAGCCACTCAATGTGTCTCTTTCACGTCGATGTTTCTCTCTCTCTCTTCCTCCCACTCTATCTGAACAAAAATGGGAAAAAAAATGTCATGAGGATAAAAAAAAAAAAAAAAAAAAAGGCCTAACCAGAGTGGAGTGCCTGGCACAATTTAGGTGCTCAAAAAGTTAGCTGCCATCAGGTACGTGGTTAGACATGGGGGTGTGTGTGGAACAGGCAGATCGGGTTTCTGCAGGAAAGTGTTGATCCAGCCCCAGGACTCAGGCTCAGCTCTTCCATTCTGTCTGAGTCCCACCCTGTCCTCCCGGCCCACCCACTGCGTGGACCCCTCTCGTACCTGTAGAAGTCGTCCAGGCAGTACACGTCATTCTGGCTGTCCAGGGCAAAGCTCTCATCCCCGATGCACCGGGCACATGCCACACATGTGAAGCAGGTTGGGTGGAAGGCCTGGCCTAGGGCCCTGATGATGTGTTCTCGAACCACCTCACCACACTTGCCACACTTCTCCAGGGTGTCCTAGGACAGAAGGCCATTGCCTCAGAGCCATCCCATGCGTGTGCCCACTCCATGCCACAAGGGGCTTCTGACCAGCTCAGAAGGGGCTCAGAAGGCCAGGGGTACAGGCGAGGAGTTCAAATTCATGCAGCTGGCCTATAACTACTGTCCCCCAAGCTTGGCCTTGTGTCCTTAGCTCGCAGTGAGGAATCCTGCCTTGAAGCTATGACTGCATGTTTTGTTACTAGAAAATGCTTGAGGCCAGTGTCCACGAGGGCCCACAGAAGTTTCTCTTAAATCTGAGTCAGGAAAAGGAATTCCTAGAGGAACTGGTGTGCTTTTTATCTCATGGACAATAAACCTTGAAACTCTTTCCCTTTTCCATTTGGCCACTTGGAAGCTCAGAGTCAAATTCCATGCTCCACTTCTAGGAACAACTGTAGGGGTCCTTTATGCATATATTTGGGGTACTAACTTTGCCTTGAGGCTCTTCTCACTTTCTACTTTGATTTTCCTCTGTTCTGATGTATTTAGTTTACAGCTCATGGTATTTTTTAAAAAAAATTTTATGTGGTAAGAACACTTAACATGAGATCTACCCTCTCAACGAATTTTTCCACGTCCAGCATTATTGTTGGCGGTAGGTATACGTGCAGTCTTATCATCTTATCAGCGGCCTCAAATCCATTCTGGAATGAGGAGGGATGAGAGAGATTACCGAGGCAGAGCAACCGGCCTCCTTCTGGTCTGTCCACCTCTTCTCCCAGACATGGCTCTTCCCCTTCCTGTGCTCCTGTTCATTTCAACCTCATTTCATCTGACAGGTGTAGTTTCCTGGGGGGCAGCATTTCCCCTTCCCTCCCTTCCCGGGGCAGCCCTTCTCTCCCCAGCACACTGCCCAAGTAAGTCCTCCTGGCTGCTCCAGCTGTAAGCTGCCCCCCACCCCCTGCCTCCCCTCACTGCCTCACCCCTACCTGGCTCTAAGCTGAGGGAGGAGGGCAGGACATCCCTCACCGTCACAGTGAGGGGGTCAGAGGGGTGGGACAGTCCGGCTCCTTCCTCCGCCCATAATGCCTCACTGCTTGTGATGAGATCATTCTGATTTCTCTAGCTAGTCCCAAATCCTAAACTCAGCCCTCAAATCAGTCATTTCCAAACTTCAGTGTATGCCAGAAGCACCTGAGACTTGTTAAAATGCAGATCACCAGGTGCTACCAATCCAGGAGGACATCCGGGCGGTGTGCTTGGGGCAGCCTGTACACATCGAAAACGCCCCCTCAGGCCATCGCAGTCAGCGATTCGGATACCTTAGCACCCAAACTAGCATTCGGTACCCAGAGGTGACACAGACCACCCCCTTTGGACCACGCGTCAGAACCTCACGGCTTGAAGTGAGAGCAGCAAGGCCAAAGGTGGGCCCCAGAACTAGATGGGCCTGGGATGGAACCCCAGCTCCACCACCTTCTGGAGTGTGACCTTATGTGAAAAATGAGTAACCCCCAAAATATCCGGTGACTACCTCACATGGCACTGTGATTGAGTCGAGGACCTTAAGATGGGGAGAGTCTCCTGCGTTACCTGCGTGGGCCCCAAATGCCATCCTACGTGTCCCTGTAGGAGGGAGGCAGAGGGAGACTCGACACAGAAGGAATAAGACACCGAAGCAAGATGCTACCCTGCTGACTTCGAAGCAGACAAAGGATCCCAGGAACGCCAGGAATTCAGAGTCAGGGGCTAGAAGGGGCAAGAGAATGGATTCTCCCCTGGAGTTGGGGGGCTGGGGGTAGAGCTCAGCACTTGCATTTTGACTCGGTGAAACTGACTTTGGACTTCCGACCCCCAGCTCCAAGAGGGTAAATGTGTGCTGTCTGGCGCCCAGTTTGTGGTCAAGTTACAGCCGTCACAGGAAAGTAATGCACCTTGGCTGAGCTCCTCCCCGCTCGGAGCCTCAGCTTCCTCATCTGTGAAATGGGTCAGTAGTGCCTACCTCCCAGGGTTGTGGGGGATGAAATACTATAACGTCTCCCAAGTGCCCAGCTCAGGGCCAGCACCTGGGGAGCGGCTGCAGGGGGTTACCTGGTAGCAGGGTTCGCAGAGGGGCCTCCCATCCTTCTGGTAGAAGCTCTGCCCGGCCAGCTGGCGGCGGCAGGTGCGACATGTGAAGCACTGAGCGTGGTACTGCCTCTTCATGGCTTCCACGGCCAGCTCTCGGGGGGACACAGTCTTGTGGCAGAAGGCACAGATGTCTGGGGTAGAAGAGACATAGGCCATGACGTGCCCAGCCTGGGAGTACTGTGCGTGGTCACCACCCAGAACATGCCCAGAGTGCCAGGTCTCTGCCTTGAACCCCTGGGGGTCGTGAGTGTGATCTCGTCTCCTGGGGGGGCCATGAGGATCAATAAAAAGCAATGTGAATGGCCCTTAAAAACAGGGACAACTGGGTTATCATCTGCAAAAAATTAAAGTTGGGGGGAAGCCTCCCTCATGGCATCTTATACCCAGATCATTCCAAATGAATCAAAGATGTGGAAAATGAAACCTTAAGAGCACTAGAAGAAACCACAGAACTATTTTATAACCTTGGAGTAGCAAGGTCTTTTGGTACATGGTGAGCACTTGATACTGTTTACAAAATGCATAGCACACGGTGCTGGAGAGGCTGTGGGCAAATGGTCACACGGGGCATGCTGGCACGAGTGTAGACCGGGCTGATCACGAAGGGCAATTTGGCAAAAAATATCCAAGTTACAAATGCGCTCACCCTTTGGCCACAGTACTTCCTCTTCTAGGAATTTCTCTCACAAACTTGCACACGCGCAAAAGGACCCACATGCACGACAATTCACCTCAGCCTTATTTTTTACAGCAAGAAGCCACCTATGCACCCATTCATAGGCGACTGGTTAAATGCACAGTAGAGCCATGTTAAGGAATATTATGCAGCTGTGAAAAAGAACAAGGAGCCACTATATGTCCTGACATGGAATGAGCTTTAAGATGCCGGAAGGAAAGAATGTACAGAACAGCACCGGAGTTTGCTCCTATTTGTGGAAAAGTGGGGGGTGTGGGCAGTGAGCAGTGGGTGCATATTTGTATTTACTTACATATGCATCAAATACATCTGGAAGGACACACAAGACGTTAACAACAGGGGTGGTCTGGAAGGACACGGTGATGCAGGGATGGGGCAGAAGGAAGACATCACTGTGTACCCTCTCATGCTTTCTCTTCTGCACTATGTGAGGGTCTTATGGATTCAAAAAATATAATAGTGAAAACAATTCAAGGTATTTTTGCCATCATAGCAAATTTGGTGATCAATTTTAATGGATTTTAGTTCTAAAGGGATAACAGTTAAGACAATAAAAATAAAGTTGGTGTTGAACGCCAAGGCCCTTCACTGAGCCGTGACCTGGGGAAGACATGTGTGGTCCCGGCTGTCCTAGTTCCCACCTGGAAGCTCATGCCAGCCCCTCGAGGCCCCCAGGGACCACCCAGAATGCCCCCAGCCCTGTGCCCATACCTGTGGACGCCTCTCTCTCCGGGAAGCCAACAGGCTCCTCTGGGGGAGGCGGCAGCTCCTCCTCTGCGGGCCTGAGACGGCCGGGTCCAGGCTGGAATGGAGGCCCCTCCGCCAGGGACTGTGGGGACACAGGAGGTGGGGGTAGGAGAGAAGTCATCCAGTGGGGACCCCCCCAGCCCTCTCAGCTCCATTCCTCAGCCGGTGACCCCAGGCACAATGAGCCCCATGGTACAGAGCAAACTGAGGCCCACGTCTCCCAGCTCCGTGTCTGGGCTCCTTTGACCAGTCTAAGCTACTTCCTTCTACTTCTAAGGATGTTCCAGGAATCAGGATTTTCCTTGGCCTAGAGTCCCTCCCACTTCTACAGTGACCTCTGTTAAGGGCAGGGGATTAAAAATGGGCTTTGGCCCGGACGGTGTGGCTCAGTGGTTGAGCGTCAACCCCTGCACCAAGAGGTCACCAGTTCGATTCCTGGTCAGGGCACATGCAGGTTGTGGGCCTGATCCCCAGTGCGGGGCATGCGGGAGGCGGCCAGTCAGTGTTCTCTCTCATCGATGTTTCTATCTCTCTCTCCCTCTCCTTTCCTCTCTCTCTCTAAAAATCAATAAAGAAAATAAAAGGGCTTCGTATGCAGCATAAGGGCTTTGGGTTGGACCCAGGGAAATGTCTTCTCAGAGCTGGAGGGCGAACCTGGTGGGGAAAAGTGTGTGTGCATCCATTTTCACCAGCCTCAAAGAGCTTCGAAAAGGCACGGTCCCTTTTTCTTTTTAATTAATTTTTCTTTATTGATTTTAGATAGAGAAGAAAAGAGAGGAAGACAGAAACATCAATGAGAGAGAACATTGACTGGCCACCTCCTGCATGCCCCCACTGGGGATCGGGCCCACAACCTGGGCATGTGCCCTGACCAGGCATTGAACCAGCGACCTCTTGGTGCATGGGTCGACGCTCAACCACTGAGCCACACCGGCTGAACAAAAAGAGACTGTCCTTAAGCAGGAGAACGGACCAAACTATCTCCAGGCTTAAAATCCCTAAAGGCCCAGAAAACATAGACTCTCCCTCCCCTGGGCCACGGGGCTCCATCAGGGATCACAGGGGTGTCAGTACCTGTGGTGGTGGTGGGGGTGGGGGCAGGTGTAGCTGCTCTAAGTCGGAAATGAGTTGTGCCCCCATCGAGGCAGAGGGCTCGTCATCAGGAGGCAGGTACACTGGTGGGGGCGGCGGAGGAGGGAGGAGGTCCAGGTCGGGGGCGTCCTCGCCATCCAGGGTAGGAGGAGGAAGAGAGCGTCCTGCAACCGGAAGGGGAAGTTGTAGAGTGTGGTGGCTAAGGGCTCAGGTCCAGAGTCACCCAGACCTGGGGTCCAACTCTGACTTTGCCACCGACTTGATGTGTCCTCCGGTAAGAGACTTAGTCTGTCTGAGTCTCAGTTTGCTCACTGGAGAATGGGTATCAGTTGCCTAGGGCTGTTGTGAAAATGATGAGATGATGCAGGTGCGGGCTTGGCACGTGGCACAGGCTCACAAAACAGTAGCTGTCGAAGCAGCCCCTCCCCAACCTGGGTGCTAGCATGCCCCAAACCCTTGCTAGAAGGCCCTTCTGCGGATACAAGCAAAACCAACCTCTAAGGCTGTGGTTCTCCAAGAGCAGCACCTGGGACCACGTTAGACATGCAACTTCCAGGCCTGCCCCAGGCCGGCAGAAGCAGACACTCCGGGGTGCGGCCCAGCCTGTGGAGCTTAGGAAACCCTCCGGGGGGTGCTGAAGCCACGCAAGTGTGGGAACCAGCGCCTCGTTACACAATAGAGTCAGGTAATGACTGTCAGGCAGGTTAATACAGAACTCTCCAGGAGGGGTCAGACTGCCACCACCCGGACCCACAAAGACCTCAGCAGACATCGGGGTCTTCGGACCCACGTTATGCTGTGATTAGGTACAGGCACCACCTCTGAATGCTCTCACCAAAACAAGCCCCAAAACGTAAACCAAAACCAAGCAATCGAAGCCGGTCTCTAGGCTTAACCTGCATTTACAATGAACTTGGAAGACAGGGGGGCAGGTTGGAGGAGACCACAAAGAAACCAAGAGACACACCAGCATATTTCTGCAGCAAGTCAGCGGCAGGGGAGAGACAGAGGGAGGAGCCTTCCTTGGAATTAAGAGACTTTAGAGAAAAATGACCACATACAATGTTTACATTTGTCCTGTCCCAGAGTTGCCACCAGTCACGGGTGGCCGCGGAGCACATGAAAAGTCCACACTGAGATGGGCTGAAAGGTTCAGGATGGAAAGAGTGTACAATCCTTCACCACCAAGTCTATAATGATCACACGCTGAAATGATCTTTTTTAAAAAATACAGTATATATTTTTTGGTAATCTTTTTATTGATTCTTAGAGAGGATGGGAGAGGGAGAGAAACATGGATACAAGAGCAGGGCACGGACCGGCTGCCTCCTACCAGGGATCGAGCCCTGACCGGGAACTGAACCCATGACCTTTCAGTGCACAGGGCCATGCCTGACCAACTGAGCCACACCGGCCAGGGCTGAAATAATAATTTTTTTTATCCTCGCCTGAGGACATTTTTCCATTTTTTGTTCAGAGTGGGAGGGAGGGGGAGAGAGAGAGAGAGAGAGAGAGAGAGAAACATCAACGTGAAAGGGACACATCGAGTGGCTGCCACCCACACGACCCAACCAGGGCCGGGGACAAACTGCAACCGAGGTACATGCCCTTAGTGGGAACTGAACCCAGGTCGCTCTGGACCATAGGCTAAGCTCTAACCGCTGAGCCAAACCGGCCAGGGCTGAAATGATAATTTTTATATATTGGGTTGCATAACATATATTATGAGAAGTATGATCACTTACTTCTTTTTACTTTTTTCAGCGTGGATCCTAGAAAATTTTAAGTTACATATGAGGCTTGCATTTGTGACTCACAATGTTTTTACTGGATGGCCCTGGAAAAGACCTTACTGGATCCTGGTTCAAAGCATGAATCATCTCATTTAATTCCCCTCATTTTGCAGATGAGAAACTGCTAAAAATTCTGGTTGAGAGCTATATCTCAAAAGAAAGGCGAGACATAATGAAACTCATTCATTCCATTACAACCCAACACTTAAAGACCATTTTTATGACAATTCAGGTATATTAATCATGGCTAGTGTACTAGATAATCAAAGGTATTCTTGTTGATTTTGATTGGCCTTTTGGTTATGTTAAAAAAAAAAAGGCCACATTTAGAGCTGGACCCTGAAGAATTGGGGCGGAAATGACCTGATTACTGGCATTCGGTCATTTCCTATATTTATTTATTTAATTCTTTTTCTTTATTGATTTTAGAGAGGGATAGAAACATCGATGAGAGAGAACATCAACTGGCTGCCTTCTGCATGTCCCCCACTGGGGATCGGGCCCACATCCTGGACATGTGCCCTGACCGGGAATCCAATCGGGGACCTCTTGGTGCATGGGCCGATGCTCAACCACTGAGCCACACCAGCTGAGCTGGTATTTCCTTTAAAATACCTACTTCAGCCCTGGCCGGTTTGGCTCAGCGGTTAGAGCGTTGGCCTGCCGTCCTGAGAGACCCGGGTTCGGTTCCCGCTAAGGGCGCGTACCTCGGCTATAGTTTGTCCCCGGCCCTGGTCGGTCGTGCGGGTGGCAGCCACTCGATGTGTCCCTTTCACGTCGATGTTTCTCTCTCTCTCTTTGTTCCTCTCTCTCCCTCCCACTCTACCTGAACAAAAAATGGAAAAATGTCCTCAGGTGAGGATAAAATAAATAAATAAATAAATAAATAAATAAATAAATAAATAAATAAATAAAATAAAATAAAATAAAATACCTACTTCAGCCTTGGCCAGTTTGGCTCAGTGGTAGCGCGTTGGCCTGTGGACCAGAGTCTCGAGTTTGATTCCGGCCAAGGGCACGTACCTTGGCTGCGGTTTGTCTCTGGCCCTGGTCGGGGTGGTACAGGAGGCAGCCAGTTGATGTGTCCCTCTCACTTCGAGGTTTCTCTTTCTCCCTCCCACTCTATCTAAAGATAAATAAAAAATAACAACCTCGGTTGAAAATTAAAAAAAAAAAAGGTGGCGGGTTCCATCCCTGGTTGGAGTATGGAGACAACCATTCGAAGTTTCTCTCTCTCTCAAAAAATGAAAGATGGTGTCCTGGGAGAAAGGACAGGGAGGCACTCTGCCCACCTCCTGTCCCCACAGCACACGTAGGCCAGCTCCAGCGAGGCCGGGCTGCCCTGTGCCCTGCCCGAGACACTCATGGAAAACAGACGGAAAGTGCCCACGGCCATGCCCCAGGCCCTGCCCCGTAAAGCCTGGCGCTGGGCCCATTCTCTGCTCACTCGCTGGGGCGCCTCTCTGGGCTTCAGCTTTCTCGTCCATTCCACGCGGGTCCTGACCCTCTCTCCTTTGTCCCCAGGGCTGAGGGGCCTGCACAGATGGGAAGCTAGTTCTAGCCCTGGGAGCACCACACCACAGACTCACCCGGGGGCTGTTCACAGGCAGAGGGCTGGGCCCCACCCGGAGCTCCTGATTCAGCAGGCGAGGGGGGGGCCTCAGAATTTACATCTTCCGAAAAGTTCCCCACGCTGCTGCTTCAAAGGCCATACTCTGAGAATTCCTCTTCTAGTCCACGACTCTACCTGCTTCATGCCTTTGGACTAAACAATAGTTCTCAAAGTGTGGTCCCCGACCAGAGCGTCAACATAACCTGGAAACGCGTAAGAAATGCAGACTCGTGGGCCTCACCGCAGACGGGCTGAATCAGAAACGCCGGGGTGGGGCCCGCTGGCTGTGTTTGAACAAGCCCCCCGGATGCTGTGTTGCTGAAGCATGAGAACCACACTCCGCAGGAGTTGATGTGAGTCAGGAACCTGACTGGGAGACATAGCAGGAATGAGGCCTCTCCCAGGACCTGCCTCAGGTTCCAGGCAATAGGCTGTGAAGGGTGGGCAGGTGCCAGCCAGGGCAGGAGAGCAAGCAACCTTTTTTTTTTTTTCATCTTTACCCAAGGACTTTTTTTGCATTTATCTTCAGACAGAGCAGGAGGGAGAGAAGGAGGAAGAGAGAGAGAGAGAAACATCGATGTGGGAGAGACACATCGAGTGGTTGCCACCCACATGACTCCAACTGGGGCCAGGGACAAACTGCAACTGAGGTACCTTGCAGGAACCGAACCTGGGACGTGCTGGTCCATAGGCAGATGCTCTAACCGCTGAGCAAAACCAGCCAAGGCGCCAGCAGCCTTTAAGTTATTTATTATTGATTTGAGAGAAAGGGAGATGAAGAGAGAGATAGAAACATCGATGAGAGAGAACGTCAACTGGCCGCCTCCTGCATGTCCCCCACTGGGGATCGGGCCCACAACCTGGGCATGTGCCCTGACCAGGAATCGAACCGGTGACCTCTTGGTGCATGGGTCGATGGTCAATCACTGAACCATACTCGCCAGGCAAGCGAGCAGACCTTTTAAAATGTTTTTTCTTATTGATTTTAGAGAGAGGGAGAGATAGAAACATCGATGAGAGAGAACATCAATTGGCTGTCTCCTGCATGCCCTCCACCTGGTCCTGGGCATGTGCCCTGACCAAGAATCAAAACTAAGCCACACTGGCCAGGTGAGCAGCCTTTTAAAGAGTATGTCTGGCCCTGGCCGGTTTTGCTCAGTGGTTAGAGCGTCGGCCTGCGGTCCAGAAAGACCCAGGTTCGGTTCCCACCAAGGGCGTGTACCTCGGTTGCAGTTTGACCCCGGCCCTGGTTGGGTCGTGCAGATGGCAACCACTCGCTGTGTCCCTTTCACGTCGATGTTTCTCTCTCTCTCTTCCTCCCACTCTATCTGAACAAAATATCGAAAGATGTCCTTGGGTGAGAATAAAAATAAATAAATAAAATTTAAAAAATAAATAAAGAGTATGTCTGGCCCTGGCCGGTTTGGCTCAGCTGTTAGAGCATCAGCCCACGGACCACCAGAGTGCCAGGTTCAGTTCCCGCTAAGGGCATGTACCTCGGTTGCAGTCTGTCCCCGGCCCCAGGTGGGGTCGTGTGGGTGGCAACCACTCGATGTGTCTCTCTCATGTCGATGTTTATCTCTCTCTCTCTTGCCCCCTCTCTCCCTCCCGCTCTATCTGAAGATAAATATGCAAAAAATGCCCTCAGGTGAGGATAAAAAAAAAAAAGAGTATGTCCGACTGGTGTGGCTCAGTGGTTGAGCATCGACCCATGCACTGAGAGGTCACCAGTTTGATTCCCAGTCAGAGCACATGCCCAGGTTTAGGGCTCGATCTCCAGTAGGGGGCATGCAGGAGGCAGCGGATTGATGTTTCTCTCTCACATCATGTTTCTATCTCTTTCTCTCCCTTCTTCTCTCTCTAAAAAATCAATGAAAACATATTTAAAGAAAAAAAGAGTAGCCAAAAGAAAACCTGACTTATGAAATATCCATTCTGCCATGGATGTTTCACGTACATGACCACATTTCCATCTTCCAGAGGAGGAAACCAAGAGAGGAAACAGCTTGTTTAAGATCACACAGCAAGAGAACAGCAGAGCCCTAGAGAGAACAACATCACCTTTCAGGTACTTCTACTTGCCAAATTCATTCCTGCCTCAGGGCCTTTGCACATGCTGTTTCCACTGTACTTCAAGCTCCCCCGCCCCTGCCAGCTCCACTCTGTCATTCAGGTCTTAGCTGAATACCTCCTTGTAGGCACCATTCTGACCACCCCAAAAAAAGTTGAACCTCCTTACCTCTTCACTGTGTTTTATTCCCTTATAACACTTGCGTCTTCCTGACATTATATGTTATATTTTTATTATCTCTGTTTCCCCCACTACGATATAAGTTTCATGGGGGCTGAAAACTTTGTCTCTTTGTTTGTGAGTCTGGCCCAGAATAATAACAACAGGTAACATATTTAACACTTCTATGTGACAGGTGCTGGGCCAAGCATATGTATTAACTCATCTAATCCTCACAACAACCCTTTGCCGAAGGAATAATCATTATCCCTATTTTACAGATCAGGAAGCTGAGGAGGAGAGATTCAGTGGCTTATCAGTATCACAACTCAAGATACTGAGTTACTGGCCGGTTTGGCTCAGCAGTTAGAGCGTCGGCCTGCGGTTCAGAGAGTCCCGGGTTTGGTTCCCGCTAAGGGCATGTACCTCAGTTGCAGTTTGTCCCCGGCCCTGGTTGGTCATGTGGGTGGCAGCCACTTGATGTGTCCCTTTCATGTCAATGTTTCTCTCTCTCTCTTCCTCCCACTCTATCTGAACAAAAAATGGAAAAAAAAAATGTCCTAGGGTGAGGATAAAAAAAAAAAAAAGAAGTGGAGGAGCCAGGATTCAAACTCAAGCAGATGGGTTCCAGAGTCTACCAGGTACATAGTAGGTGCTCAATGAATGATCTCAGAGCCTGCCCTTCCCCCTACCTCAGTGCACCGCTGACCTGGTCTCCCACCCAGTCCCCACCCTCTTACCGCCATTGGACAGCTGGGGGGGCGCAGCTGGCACTGTGGCTGCAGCCCTGCCACAGGGTGTCCAGGGACTGGGCCTCCCTGCTGAACCAGCTCCAGGTGTCTTCGTGGGGGCAGGAGATTCCCAGGGGCGGCCAGGCCGGGCCTCACAAGCTACCCGCCTCACTTCCTCGGCCACAGCTTCATCTCGACGTGGGGGTGCCAGGGTGATAAAGACGGACGAGGCGACCCGCTTCTCAGGCTTCGAGGCCATTGCCTCGGCTCCTGGTGGGGCTGGGTGGAGAGGAACGTGGCTCAGGCGAGGCTTGGGCATAGGGGTGCACTCCCCCTGGACACACAGACCCCCTGCCCTGGGGCACGGGCCTCCTCCTCCTAACAAGATAGGAGTGGCCACCCCATGCCAGTGACCCAGCCCAGCTAAGGAAAGGGCTGGGGGTGTCCTTCTGGGGAGAACAGGTCTTTACCAGGTGACTTGGCTACAGGGTGCGACCCAACAGTCCTGACTGCCCCGCCCCTGAACCTGCACACCTGGGGAGCAAAGGGCAACCTGCCCTGCTCACCTCGAGAATGATTAATTTTCCTCCAGTAAAAAGTGTGAGGAAGGAGCAGCTCCTCCAGCTCCCCACCCGAGCAAGCTGACTGCCATCCCAGCCCAAGGTCACATCCCAAGTGACCTCCCTTGCCTGGGGTCCCGATTCTCCCGGGAGAGCTGAAGTCCCAAGGTTCAGGCCAGCTCTTCCCTGGGAGGGATACAGCAGGAAGCTTTCAGAGCATCGGGGCTGGCCTCTAGGGGGCAGCGGGGACAGAAGAACAATCAGAGCCAGCATTTCCCTGAGACCTACTCTGGGCCTTCCGCACTTTCTACCCATTAACCCATAAATCCTCCCAACGCTGCTGGGGGAGAGGCACCATTACAGTTCCCATCTTACAGATGAGGAAACAGAGACAAAGAGGAGAAGTTACGTGTTCAGGGTTATGCAGCAGCAGGACTTGGATTTAAACCCAGGGCCCGTGTTCTTGGTCAACTGGCTTTGCTCTCCCCTCCCCGGGCCAACCCACAGCCAGCATCCTCTTCTCCACCATCAGCTTCCACATTCGTCAAATCTTGACTCTCCTGCAGGAATCGCTCACTCTGTCCCGTTTCCCAAACTGCAGCCCTGGCTCAGGCAGGTGCCTCAATGGGCTCCAATCCTGCCTCCCACCTTGTCCATGGAGTGATCGTTCTAGAGTAAGGCTGACACTTTCTCCTCTACTCAAAAGCCTTCCATGGCTCCCTACTACCTTTAAGATAAAGTACCAAATTCCCCTGGCCTCAACCCTGGACTACCCTGGACGACTACCCTTCTTTAACTCCCCCCCTTACCTGCCTTGAGTGTTTTCCACCAAGTGTTTTGCCTCTCTCGCCCCAGCACAATGTGAATTTCAATTTTCTTAGAGGCCAGCTCAGATATTACCTCCTTCCTGGGGCAGCTGTCTGCTTCCCAGGGCGATGACAGCCCATCGCAGGGCACGGTGGCTCACTGCCATCGTGTCTGTCCCCCCTCCCATAAGTGACCTCGTGCGCTATCAGCTGTGTCTGTGATTTTTGTATGACCTGAGTCCAGCTCATAGTACAGGCATCAAAGTGAGGATCTGGGAGCAGGCAGCACCCCGACCAGGAAGAGCCCATTTTTCATTTCTCAGGTTGTTCCAACAGAGAGTAGCCTCCAGGGCCAAGGCTGAAGTGGGGCTGTGGGGTAGCCAGTCAACCCCACTCAGCTCAGGGTCCTGCACTTGGCACCCAGCGGGGGGAACATGCCCTTCTTTTCTCTCTCTCCAATTGGGTCACCCTGACAAGACCCCAAAGCCTAGCCCACAGGTTCACGGAGAGGAGAGAAAATAGGGACCCAGAGAACAAACCTCAAGAAGTGGGGCTGGTGAGCAGGGGTGAGAGCCTTGAGGGACCCTAGTAGTGGACTTGGAGCCCAAGTGGCCACCCAAAGGCCTCCCTCCATATAAACTCCAACTGGCCACTGTGGGCAATTTTGGTGACTGACGGAGAATAATAGTAACAAAAACACCACCATATGCTTGTAAATTACTCTAACATTGTTTGGTTAAAATGTATCGCTCAGTCTGATAACAAATTATCTGTTCCAAAAAAGAAACCAATATAGGAAGAAAGCTCCAAAAGTTCTTTAAAGTACTTCTCTTTTGTTTCTTGCTTTGTGTGTGATGTTTGGAAGTACATATGCTTATATTGGCTGTCATAGTCTGGTATAATACTTTGCTGCAAATTTCATTATCTGTTCTTATAAACAATTTTTAGAGAGCATCTGAGATTTACCTATAAGAAACAACAAGGGCACTGGCTGATAAAGTGCTTGCTGTGTGCCAACCACTGTGCCCAGAGCTTTCTGTGCCTCAACTCACCGAATTCTCACTCAGCCTGTTCCGTCCCCACTTTACAGATGGGCCAGGGAGGCCCCAAGAGGTTAAGTGACTTTTCCAGGTCATCCATGGAAGAGGAATTAAAATGGAGCACAATCCGACGTGAGTCCACAGGGTGTCCTTGGACCTGAGACACACTTTTTCTTCCCTGGATGGCATGAGAGCCCCCAAATTCTCAGGCCTGTATTCACCCCAGAATGGCCCAACCGGGACCCATTATCCTGTGGTCAGTGCATTCTGGGCTGTCCCCAGAGACTACTGTGGATGCCCTCTCTGCCTCCTTCCCACCCTGCTCTGACCCCCACTCCACCCCAGGAAGTTGGATCTGCTGGTTTCTCCGAAAACATCTAAGGCAAAAGTCCCAGTGCTGAAGCCAGATGTTCACAGCTGGGCACATCCCCCCACTCCCTGTGGTTTCTGCAGAGACTTCAGGCCCCAAGGGAAGGGGCCCAGCTGGGACCTTGCACAGCCTGGGCGGCTGGGGCAGCCAGGCCCCGGGAAAAGGGGTGCTCTATTCCCACGGCCCCCCGGTCACCCTGCAGCAGGGTACAGGTGGAAAAGCTTCCTGTGGGCAGGATCCCAGCCAGCTGGGTCCAGGGGATCCTCCACCCCCATCCTTCCTCCCCCAGAGGGAGGATCTCAGATCCAGTTGGGTAAGCAGAGAAAGTGGGAACAAAGGGAAGGAAAGTCATTTCCTGTCAAGAGGAAGGAAGGAGGCTGAGATCCAGCCAGCCACCCACCCAGGCTTTAGGCTGCAGCCCAGGGCACAGCCTTCAGAGGATCCAGGGCCTCCAGGGGCTCCAGGTAGTGTCCCCTCCCCCATCCTACTGCTAAGCCCCTCTCAAAACTCTGGAACTCTTTCTAAGCTCTGTTCTTTGATACTCTGGTAAAGCAGTCTATGCTTGGCTCAGAATTCAAGTTAGCTGGAGGTGGGGGTGGTACTGTATCCCCTCAGCCCCTGCAGGGGTCCTTGCAGCCTTGGATAGGGGTTCCTCCTTCCTCTCTCCCACCCCAAGAAAAGGGAAGGTGCACACAGAGCTGGGTTCACACGGGCTCCACCTCTTTCCTGCTGGGTGACCCTGAGCAGGTCACTGAACCTCTCTGGGCCTCAGTGTTTTATAAAGTGAGAATAATGAGGTCTGTCCTAAAGGGTGGCTGGCTCAAGATCTTGGTACTAGGTACTTAGGGCAAAGAGAAGGACAGCTGGTTATTCAGCCCTGGAGGGAGAGGCGAGGCCCTGGGGGCTGGGCTCCTGGGGGGCCTGGGAGGACCAGGACTTCGCTTCCATCCTTAAGAACAGGAGGAATATAGGCGCTGCCCAGCCTTTCCCCGGGGTCCTCAGCCTGGGCTGGAGGAGGACCCACACCAAGACGCACACACCTTGGGGACCGCCCAGGCTCACCCCTTCCCCGCCCAGGACGGGGACCAAGGCCCACAGAGGGGCAGTCCTGAAGCCCTTCCCTCCCCTCGCCTGACCCGGGCTGAGTCAAGGGGATCCGAGGTCCCCGGAACTCCGGAAACCCGACGCCCTCCCGCAAGCAGCCAAGGAGGGAGGCTGGCCGGGTCACCGTGGGGCGCCGCCGGGGACTTAATTCGATCCATGTGCGGGACGCTGTCCTCTTTGTGCGGGAGCTTCCGCCCAGCCCACCCCTGCCTCTGGCGCCCCGCTCCCGGGCAGGGACACCAGCCCTCCCCCCTCCGGGACAGTGACCGAGGGACTGAGACGGAAGGACAGTCCCCCGCCCCGGGTCCCGCAGGCCCCCTCCAGGAGCGCCGGGGCTGGGGTCCCGGCTGGGGGCGGGGTGGGCTCCGGCCCGGGGTTGCCCGTGCTGTCACCTGTGTGTAACCCGGGCAAGGGCGGAAGGACGGAGGGACGGGACCCCCACCCCCAGCCCAGCTTACCTGGGCCGCCTGCGTCCGGGCCGGCTCCGATCCGCTGCCGGAGCCCGCAGAGCCGGGAGGAGCGCGGGCCTCCCGCCCTCCGCCCTCCCCGCCCCCTGCTCCCTCCGCCCCGCCGCCCCGGCCGCCTTACCATAAAAGGTGAGGCTTGGGGGAGGGGGCCCGGGATTCCCGCCGGGCGGAAGCAGCCCCTACCTGCCCCCCCACCTGGCTGGCCGCACCCCACGCCACCCTCTCCCCTTCCCTTTGTTCCCTCGACCCCTCCTCCCTTCCCTGCCCGGGCCTGGAGGGTGGGAGGCTCCCCACTGCCCACCCCGTGTACAGTGAGCGCCGAGTGGTCTCCACCCTCCCCCTCCTAGGTCACTTGGGTTGGTGGCCCTGCCTGCCCTGGCTGGTGGGAGGGGTGCCTACACCTCAGTCTGGCCGGGAATTTACCAAGGTCCTAACAGTCAGGTGGATCCGGGCTCCATGGCCCGTCACTGCGTCTTCCTGAGCCTCAGTTGCTTTGTCTGCAAAGCGGAGTATGGCCGCCTTCCTCGCAGGGTCAGGCGGGGGTAAAAGATGCTGAGGACAGTGAGGAGCAGAGACAGCGCTCAGCATACGCTGGGCCCCGGGCTCTTTCCGAGGGTGCCAGTGAAGCAGGTCACCTGGATTTGCTGTCCTGAGCTGCCACTACCTGTCTGGACCCTAAGCCCTCTGCAGGTGGGTCCCAGGGTAGACAGGACCTGGTAAACAGGGCCCAGGTGGCAATGGCATCACTGTCCTGTGGTGGACTCCCTCCCACCTCCTGCACCCCTCCCCACGCTGGAGCGGATAGATAATGCAGTGGGAGGGAAGCTGAGCCTGGGCCCCGGGCAGCAGATGGAGCCAGGATAGGCGGCCGGAGTCCCTGGAGGCCTCCCGAACATTGCTGGGAAAAGGAATCTGGGTCTGATTCAGAGGCAAACAGATTGTTCTTTTGATTAAAGCCACAGTGGCTGAGGCCAGAGGAGCACTGGACCCAGTGCCATCTGGGGGGAGGCCAGGCAGGGTCTGGCTCTCCTCGGCCAGCCCGAAGCTGCAGCACCCTGGCCAGGCTGGCTCTTGGGCTGCTCTTGAGGGGCTCATGCTCATGGGGGCTGTCAAGGGGGTGCCTAGAACACTGTCCCCATGCTCCTCCACCCCCTACTGCCTCCCTAAATTCCTCACCCACTTTTTGTCATCCTGTTTTCATTTGATCGGCACAGCTGAAACTCAGGGCCCCTATGACTTTGATTAAATTTAGTTTTAAACCTAGCTCTAGAAATCATCTCTAAGACCTAACCCCTCCATAATCAGCAACCCTCAGAGACCTAGCCCCCCACCCCCACCCCATAATCAGCAACCTCCCCCCCCCCCAGGCAGGACCTCTGGCAGGTTAGAGATAACATCTTGACCCAAATTATATTTCAGCCCCTGAGCCCTACAGTGGACCTACTAGCTACTTTCCCATGAGAGCAGACAGAGAAACACAGGAAAAGATCTCAGAATTGTCCTCAAAAGCTGAGGAAATGATTTATTACCCTTACCTCACTTCCGACCAATCAGCTCCCAGCACGACCCCCTACCCGCAACCCACAGTGTCTTGTGATTTTGCCCTATGGAACCTGTAACCTCCACACCAGGTATTGGCCAGCTCAGTATTAACTCTTTGTGTCTGTGCTGCAGACTCCTGCTCACGCATTTCTTTGGGCCAGTGTAGCAGGCAGGCGGACTCAAGGAGAAAGCCCTGGGTTCCCAGCCACTCTGCGCCCACAGCAGCCGGTGTCTGGCCTACAGGCCTCTTTCCACTGGATCCCCAGGAGAGCCCTGTGCGGCGGGACTGATTATTCTTGCTTCACAGACAAGGAAACTGAGGCCCAGAGCAGCTCAAGGCTACACAAGGGGCAAGAGGCAGAGCTGGATTCAAACCCAGACCAGTAGCCCCCCGGGGCACTGCTCTGCCAGTCCGGAGAGCTGTGAGGCTGCCCCCCTTCCTGGAGGCTGAGGCTTGGAGAGGCAACCCGAGCTCTGGAGGCAGAGGGAGAGTGACCCCCTCGCTGCCTGAGCCCCTGGTCCGGCTCATTCCTGGCTGGGCCCCTGTGCCTCCCACTTTAAGGCAAGACTTCCCTCTGCCTTCCGCAGGGGGGAGGAGGGACCACTGGGCGCCAGAGATGGGAATGGCCGCAGGAGGAAGGCGCGACCCAGGGGTTTTCAGACACTTGGGGCTGTAGAAGCCCCTTTTCAAGTGCTCTGTGACCCAAAAGCTTATGTAAAACAGAAAAATGCAGCTGCCCTCCTTCACCTCCAGGATATCCCCCAAGCCACCTCACTGCACCCCAACATGGGGCCCTCAGGCACCAAAGAATTGATTTGGGGCCTTGGCCAAGGTCTCACAGACTCTGGGACCCAGGCATCGTCCCATCTGCTCTGGACTAAGGCTGGCTTGGGATGGGGAAAGGTCAAAGGGGAATGTGGGGGTCCAGCTGCCACCACTTACCTGCCACCCAACACCCCTGGCCACCTGTCTCACCTGTGCCGCTGCTCCCAGGTGGAGAGGAGCGTCCTGGCCAAGGGTCTCCCGCACCACCCCAGGGGAGTGTCACCTCGGCAGGTGCCAAGCTTCTTGCAGCGGAAACCCAGGAAGTGCGCTGGATGAGAACACACGCCCTTTGTCCGCCAGCTCCGGCCCTGCTCCCCTCCCCCTCCCTGCCAGCCTCAGACCAGCTTTCTTCCAAGCAAGAGGCTCAACCTTCTATTAGGGTTCAGGCAGCTGAGACCCTGGGTGGCAGGGAAGGGGTGGGAGAGAGGTTTGGGGGCAAGATCCAAAGCTGTAGGGACAGTGGCTGCTGTCCAGTCTGCCAAGGAGCGTGGCATCTGCTGTCCACTGTGGGAGGAGGGCTTTGATCTCACACACACTGATCGGGCACCTACTGTGTGCCAGGCACAAGTGAAGGAACTCAGGGAATCAGGTCAGACACCATCAATCCTTGTCCCCATGAGCTCATTGGGTGGCGGTAGGCACATAACAGCAATTAGTGTAATTACCAACAGTGAAGTGGGCTCTGAGGCAGGGAACCAGGGGCAGGCCAGCATCGGGCAGGCCTCTCTGGGAGGTGGGTGGCATTTAAACCCAGATGAGGAAGAGTCATGTGAAGAACAGAGGAAGGGAGGCAGTAGGGGAAACAGGGGCTTTGAGGTTAGACTTAGGCTTAACTCCCGGCTCTCTGATGCTGGCTGTGACCTTGGCCCAGTTCCTTCCCACGCCATGGCTCCGTTTCCTCACCTGTCACATGTGGGAGCGGGGCTGGATGCCCTCCCACGGATGGGAATGCTCCCTTAGCAGAACCGCTGGGCACAGGGCCTCCCCAGGGTGGGTGTCCCGCTCAGTGAATGGAGCACTGGCTGTTCTCACACCTCGCCTGGTGTCCAGAGCCCCCTGCTCACTGGTCCCTATGCTGTGCAGCTAGATCTGAGGACAGGCGAGGTTCCCCGAGCTGAAGTCCTCGGGGACCCAGAGACCTAGAGGAAGGGAAGCATCGGTCCAGCTGCCCTTCCCCTTGGTGGGCTCTGCTTGGGCCAGGTCAGAGCACAGCAGTCAAGGCCGGCCTGGGGCTGCTTAGATGTGCAGCTGCATGACGTTGTACATCCAGGTCGGGGGAGGGGGTACCCACTCCTTAGCAAACAGCCTCAGAAGCCCCCACCTGCCTCCGCCCCTACCTCCTCCTCCGCTTTGCTTGCTTGGAGTCAGGTCAGTTCAGTACTTATTTCCTGAACACCTGCTGTCGGGGGGCCCTGCACTAGGGGTGCATCAGTATAAAGAAGTGGGACCCCCCCCACACACGCTGCAGTAGGGGCGGGGTGGGGCAAGCACAGATATGAGTAACATCAGCATCTGTGAGTGAACTCAGCTCTGCCATTTGCCAGCCTGTTATCTTGGGCAAGTCACCTCTTTCTCAGCCTCGGTTTCCTCTTATAACCTGAGGGTAGCAGTACCTCCCTGTGGCTTCATCGTGTGGATTTGATATGATGTATGAGGACACACATGCCTGGTGCTTATTAGGTGTTCAGAGGTGAGTTCCCTTCCTTTGCCCATCCTATAGAAAAGAGAAGTTTCAGCCCTGGCTGGTTTGCTCAGCGGTTAGAGCATCGGCCTTGGGACCAAAGAGTTGCAGGTTCAATTCCAGGTCAAGGGCACGTACCTCGGTTGCAGGTTTGATCCCTGGCCCATTCAGAGTTGTGCGGGAGACAATCAATTGATGTGTCTCTCTCACATCAATATTTCTCTCTCTCTCGCTCCCCTCCCACTCTATCTAAAAAAATCAATGGAAAAATATCTTCAGGTGAGGATTTAAAAAAAAAGAAAAGAGAAGTTTCAGGGCATCCTAGGGAGATGGACAAAGTAAGGAAGAGACTCAGTCCTGCTAGAACCTAAGGGATATCATGGCTTCTGTCAGCCAGCATCGCTTTCCAGATTCTGATAACAGCATCCAGTTTCTGTTTGGGGAAACTCACCCCCATGCTCAGTGCCTGGCTGGAACTATTTGGGAAGAAGCAGTATTTTTCCAGGCTGTCAAATGCAAGCTTAGCACCATTTTTGCCAACACTTGGACCAACATGGAGGACAGGAGAGCAAAGATGATAGAAAAGGATAGGTTAATTGATTTTTTTTAAAATTCCTCACCTGAGGACTCTTTTCTACTTATTATCAGATAGAGTGGGAGGGAGGGGGAGAGAGAGAGAGAGACAGAGAGAAACATAGATGTGTGATAGAGCCACATCGACTGGTTGCCTCCCGCAGGACCCCACCAGGGCTGGGAACGAACTACAACTGAGGTACGTGCCCTTGGCTGGAGTCGAACCCGAAACTCATTGGTCTGTGGGCCGACGCTCTAACCTCTGAGTCAAAGCAGCCAGGGCAGAGGTTAACTGATGTTATCACTTAAGTTGCTGGATTCAGCCATGCATGCAATCCGCCCTTAGGTGTCTGGAGCCAATGCCTTCCTTTTTTCCTTGCTTTTTATTTTCCAACCAGTTAAC